GTAATTGTTTGTTGTAACGTTGATATCACATTATATCTAAGTATTTGGTGTAAGTTTTGTTGTATCGGTTGTGGTGTTAACATGGCATTCTGCAAAACTTACCAGTACACAAAATAGCTTGTCACCAATTGTTAAAAAAAAAAAAGAAAAAAGAACATCTTTATGTGTTATGTTTTGTTGCCATGTTTCCACAACTTAATATGCTTCACTATGAAAAGAGTTACACCATATAGTGTGGTTCCACAAATTATAAGCTCCATAGTAAAAAGTCCACATAGAATGACTGAAAATAATATAAAATGACCAAAATATAACAATATTAAATGAAAATTTATTAATTTAAAATTGCAATCCAATCATATAGATTCAGTACAAGTTTTCTTGTTTCGACTCCCTAACCGTCCACAACGATCACATCGAATTCGCCTAATAAGTTTCTCCCTTGACCTTATTCTATATTTTTTGGGTTGGCTAGACTGCTTCTTAATCGATGGCGACAAAATCTCAGTTTTGTCTACCGAGAAGTTTGGACGACCCAATTTGGCGTATATAATTTGTGTAGCCATATCGTGATACTAAATGGTGTAACTTTTTGATTTATATAAACAACTGAATGACAAATTGAATTGATGTTGTATTTTCGTGCAATTGTTTGGTATAACTATTTGGTTTATCATAATATATGAATAATTGTTTGATGTATTATAAGCACTTATAATTGATTTTTGTAACTGATTGATGTAATTGATTGGTGTAATTGTTTGTTGTATTGTTGATATAAGGATAAAGGAGAGAGAATTAGAAGAGAGAGTAATGGTGAGAAAAAATAAGAGGAGACAGAGTTAGAGAGAAAAAATAAGGGAGAGAGATGAAAAATTAAATCAGATTTTTACACATTTGAAAAGAAAATAACTTATCAATGGAAAAAAGAGAAACACAAAAAAAATAGGGGAGAGATAAAGAGAGTAACAGAGAGAAGGGAGAGAATGCGAGTGAAATTTTGAGAAAATAGGGGGGAGAAAGAGAGAGTGAAATAATAAGAATTATGCATAATTTAAGGAAAGATAAATAAGTAATATATTGGTAAACTAAATTGTGCACCTAATAACAAGAAATTTAAGTAAAAATAAACTTAACAAACTAAAAAACTTATCATTACACTTTTTCTCAAATAAGTCATAAAAAATATGCCCCCACCCAAAAAATTCTTAAAATAATTTAGTATCATGAGGCCCATTGGGTCACATATCAGGTATTAAACTGATAAAAACGGATACTACACTTGATTTTAGCCAAAACGTTGAGAAATGTATAAATTATCATTTTACTTCATGGATGATTAAAGATCTTACATTATATCTTAAATTGTTTTAAATCATAGCAACATACCTTGAAAATAATACACAATTTGTTTTTTGCATTTCTCAGCATAGCACATTGCATACGCAACAAAGAATAGCATATTAAGTGTAATTTTTGGGATACGGCGTTACCAGTAAAAGATGTTTTGGATTCAAGGTAAGATTTTTACATTTTGAAATTCCTTTGACAAAATACCATTCATGGGAGGACTACCTTTTAAAATTGGAGGTATTTAAAGCCCAAAGCGTTTGCCACAAGTCTTCTGATTCCCTGGCTAGACACTGTGTTTTGGACTCTAAAGTCTAGCTAGCTGTCCAATTTAAATTGACCAATTTAGCTTAACTCAGAATAAGCTTACATGCTTCTTTTCAGAAACACGGCGCATCAATGCTAGCATCTATTTGTATTTTGGCTCAATGGTCAATGTTATCCAGACTAACTTATGTATATTTTGATTAATTTTTTCCTTAATTTAGTCAAAGATAAGTCATCAATATTAAAATTAAAGTATTTATGAGAGATAAATCTCTCATGATCAGACCCCCAAAAAATTATTAAAATTTAAATTCATAACGTATCTGTTACCACTTGAGGTCCCCACCTCAGTTTGCAGTATGAATTTGAATATCAAAATAATACCATCCAATGCCATGATTGGAATTTTTATTCACATTTAAGTAAAAAAACTTTGGCTTGACACAAAATCTTTCCGTGGACAAACTCAAATTTCTTTTAACACCTTTTTAAAATTTTTCATATTCTTCCAAAAGCCCATTTCTTCATTGCACGTTCCTATACTTTAAATTTTGGATCACTAGTCATTACAGAAATTGCACGTTTAAACCACGACATATATTGAAAGACGAGATGATAAATACACAGAAAGGAAAATATGGGAGAGAGAGAGAGAGAGATGCAAAGAGAAGGCAGAAAATATTGACTGTTGGGGGTTCGGATAAAAATTTGAGGCTTTCCATGTTTTGCTTTGCCCTTCATTTTCTGAGTTTCAGTAAAAGAGGGGAAGTTACAGTTTGACATTTTTAACTCTAATTTAAATCTCAGTCAAGTTTGAGTTAGCCAGGTCATGCTTCGTCGTAAAAATGAGAATTTAGATCAGAATGTACGATTTCCCTACTGATTCCTCCGCAGCTTCGGATTTAGGAATCAAGTTCAACAAAATTCCAATGGGAAAGGAGCTAGAGAACGATGAGTAATGTTATTTAAATTAAAAATTTTGATCTAATTTATTGACATAATTCATTATGACTCTTACATTTATTGAGCGCCCTTTTAAATACTAGATCTTGGTTTTTAATACATATCACATTACTCCTTTGTAATCATGTACAGTATTTCATCTGCATCTCTATCTGTTTCTCTCTCTAAGCCATTATTTCAACATTCAGGGGTTCAAAACGAAATTTATCAAACTATTGGGCATCCACAATCTCTTGATCTCAAACAGGTCACTTTCATAACCCATAACCTGTAGCCCAGGCATAGCAGCGAAATGGTAAAAATTTATAACACGTATAGTGCACAAATGAGAAATTAGCTTACATTTTCAGTCACTATTTGCTTTGAAGACATGGTGTTCAATGGTAAAATTCAGAGAATTTTCCATTGTCCGTCCCGCAATATAAACCTTTTTTTATACAAGGTGGAGTTCGAAGAAAGTTACTGTACCTGACGTTAGGAGGAGAAAGATAGCTTGGATTTTTAGCTGACATCTTTTCTTCATTGAAATTGATGTAGGAATCTGTCATGGTAGAAATAAAAGCTTTTCAGATGAGTTGCTGGAAGAGCAACATTAAGAGAGAAAGAGAATCTGATGGAACAGTTGTCACCAAAGTTGTCCACCATGCTGGGAACCTAAAAATCCAATTTGATGAATTAGCTTAAGTTTTTTGAGTGGTCAAATTGTACTAGCGTTTGATATATATGACAGTATTAGCAAACAATATATAACATATCATAAAAAATCCCATGAAAAAAAAAGTTTCAAAATAAAAAAACTTTCAAGTTTTGTAGGAAATCAGGATATATATACATATATATGCAAATTAACAAACCTGATGAAATTAGTGCATATGTTAACAAGTAGAATAAACTTAGAAAGTGTATGTCAAACCACAATATTGGTAATGAGACCTAATGACGTATTTATGCATCGAAATTTCTCCCTCCTATGGTTTCTCAGCTGCCAGAAAATCTGGGCTGCTGATTATTACTTAAATGACAAAACAAAAATAACTTACAAACAAAGATATAGCTTCATTCTCGTCGAAGTAAAACTAAATATTTTAGGCAAAACATTCTACGTATGCAAATCACTTTAGTATCACAGATCTTGCATTTCCCAAGGAAATAAAAAGCATTTTGGCAGTTTAGTGTATCTCAACATTTTTAATATCTAAATCGGTTCCCAAACAAGCACATTAGTACTAGGAATTATACCTGAGGTTAATCATAGATATTCAACAGCACCAGGGAGTGATAAACATGAACGGTTGGTAGTTATTATCCACAGAAAAAGAAGATGCGAAAGTTTTCTTTGCTGGATTTGTTTGACAAAGCATCAAGTAGGAGCGTGATAACAAACAAAGGCGAAGCCTAATATGCCAATTAGTTCGTTTAGGACATCAATAATTGATTGTGATCCAAGCGATATTTAATTGTGTTGAAAATTTTAATTCATTACTTTTGTTTTTGCAGATATGGTGAAAGAAGCCTTCCAGAAATAACAAGATATGACGATTCATGGAAATGTGCTACTTATGTTTGATTACAACATATGTATATCGCATTCATATATTTGAATATGCATGATAATTTTGATTCATTCCTGAAAGTTTCAGTATGATTTATTTCGGCATTCATTCATGCTAAAGCATTGCCCGACTGTATCGGTTGCTATTAGCAAAGCAAAAGATTCCTTTTGCCCCAATTTGTTTGATTGTTTGATTGGGACATAAGGCTTGGTTTGGTTTTGGTTTGGTTTGGTTGGTTTGATTGTGTATTGCATGCCTAAAATATTGAAATTACAGTAATCTGAATCAAAACATGAAGCAAATATTCACCTGGAGTTTCAAAAGATACTAATGTGACAATCAAGAAAAGATTTACATGCTGTATTTTCTCTTCTACTGTCCTTGTTATGCATATATGTGACAAACAGCAAAATAAGTTTGTGCTGGCTGGAACATTTGAACAAGGCGAGAATGAGACTATCTTCTTGTCACAGTAACCATCAAAATAATCTATAAGTAAGAACTTACACTAATGGATACATTTGTTAGAAAATTGTAGCTAGTAGAAACTTAAATGTCATGATAAAGGTGTTGAAGAAGTGGAGATGAACGCATGAAATTTGCCTTAAAATACTTGAATCATCATAAACTTGTTTAGAAGGATTCAGCTACAATAATGTACCTAAGATGTAGGCACTTAATCTATTGTCAGTTTTTGAAAAGGTTTTTAAAATGCAAATTCTGGCAACAGTTTTTCCTTGTCGCAATTTTGTGGAACATAAAACAAGGCTTCAGAGAGAGAGACAAAACGAAGTATTACACAGGAGGAATTAGCAGATCAGTACCTGGATTTCTAGAAGCTTTGATCACTCAAATCTCTAAAATTATTTAGTTCCCATCGGATCCATACAGCTTAAACTTCACTACAAGCCTTTTCTTACGGGTTATTTTGCCATCGACAGCTTCTTTGTCAATACTTTGATGTTTTTCTTGCTCTTCCTCTGCAAGCTCAGATTTACAGTCATGTTCAGTGAGAGACATTAGAGTTCCTTCATTGAAATTCTCTGCAGTTGACTTGGAATCAATGCTTAAGCTGTCAACCCTGAACATTTCCTTCAAGGTGCAATGCTTTGCAACAGCCAAAATATCTGCCATATACCGCTTCTTAGGTTTCCCCTTTCGTTTCTGTCGTTTGTGTCTTAACCTCTTGGGAGCAGCCAGCACTTTGGTACTCCGATCAACAAGAGGGTGCAAACATGGGATGGTACTTGACAGTTGAATTCTTGCAACCAGGGTGTCAACAATAGTGTCAGACATAAGATGATAGTTTTGTCGATGCTTACGGCTCTCGCTAGAGAAAGAACAATTGTAGAACTGTGTTAAAAATTTTGAGATAGCTTCGCTAAATTTTGAATCATGCGCAACTTTCATATATTCTTCATCAGCTATCTCAATATCATTCTTTTCTGTGCAAACATCGTTTTCTCTCTTTTCTTGACAACAATCTGAACTCTCTTCTCTTTGCAAAAGATTTGTTCCTGAATCACAAAGTGCAAATGGCGGAAGCACATTTTTGATACCATTCTCTAAACAGAAATGGAAGTATCTCTCTGGAAATGGCCAACTAAGCAAGAGATCTTTCTCACGAGCAACAAGAGCATAGTGTCTGTGATATGAAGGAAGACACATAATAAAGGAAGCATTGCTTAGAGGCGTTTCTATCTTTAAATGCAAGCCATGAAGCCTTGGTTGATGATATTAAATAATTACTGGTATCAAACATAAAACTATAGTGAAATTAGCTTCAAAAGAAAGACAATGTCTTTCAAAGAAACTTGAACACATGGTTCTGAATAACGGTAACGGTTATCGTAACAGTAACAGTAACGATATAACGGACGCAGGGTAAAACGGGCGTTACGTAACAGTAACGAAAACCGGAAGAGTGAATTTTTTTTTTCTACTCACAATACCATAAAATATGAATATTTACATGTTTCAACTCTAAAATAATACAAATATGAGTGTTTAGTAATTTTTACTATATTTTATTGTATCACAAACATGTTAATGAGATATTAAAAATATGTATAATATTGAATAAGCATTATAATAATGAACCCACTACAAAAAACATTACGATATGATATTATAATTTATATTTTGTTTGAAAAAAAAAGTTCAAAAAAAAATTATTAAAATGGTTTAGCACGTGCCCCATTTAAACTAAATAACAAGATATCCCCACTAAAGCAATCAGTGATACTCTTACAAATTTACCCAATACCCACAAAACCAAATCGAAAAGCAGAGGTGGCCGGAGACAGAGTCTTCGATGGAACGACGCAAGCATCTGAAACCGAAATGCAAAGCTTCTTCATCACAGATCTGAGACCAACGTGAAAGCTTCACGGATCCTCAACGGTTCAGCCAACCAATTCCAAAACACAAATCTAAAATATATGGAGATTGTTCCATCAAATCCAACACAGATCTCCAATTCAACTAAGATGGATTTTTAGATCCAAATTAAAGATCAGGTTTTTTTTTATCATTTTTGCATCTTAAAGATGAAAATTTTTCTAGATCTGAGTGAGGATGAGAGATAACGGAGTGGCTGAAATTTGAGTTTCTAGATATGGATTTTGGATTATTTTCGAGGTATAATGGGTTAAATCGATTCGATTCTGTCCATATCGACCTTTACGGGGCCGTTACGAGGCTGTTACAAGGCCGTTACGAGACCGTTATGGAACCGTAACGTTCGTTACAGTTATGAATTTCTTCCATACCGTTATATCAGAGTGTAACGGAATCGGACACCTGCGTTACAGTAATGTAACGGCCGTTTTTCAACCGAACTACTAGTGAGATATTTTCAGATTTACGAAGGAATAAAGCTCCACATTCAAGTTATAATGGGAATACCAACAGAGTATGAAAATGGCATGCATTGAATAAAGAGTTACATAGATCAAGACTTAATTGCACTATTTGACGTCACTTGAGTGACATAAAATAACCCACATGCTTGGGTTTGTAGGGATCTTGGACAGGATATTGTCATCCCCAAAAAAAAAAAAACTAAAATTAGCAATTTGAACAGGAAGAGAAATTTTTCAGCTTCAACACTGACATCACAACGTACACTTAATGACCAGCTAACCCAACCTATATTACGGCAGATGTTGATTATTGTCCTCTATCCACTAAGAAGTCTCTTCAACAGAAAACGTAAAAAGAACGGTTGAAAAGAAAATACATTGCAATAAACTATTAAGGTTCATAAAAATGCAACACAAAATGATCCGAAGGATTTAGAATGTCATGAAGCGCAACATCAAAGAGCATGCAAAACTTTGCAATCGCCTAAGAGATCAATACGGAAGACAATTCACAAGAAAACGAAAGTTAATCTTGGTCTAAGTTAATAAATAACCTTATGGAAAATGGATAAGCAATTGGGCCGTTCTGATTATCAGTTGAACCCATATGTTGCTCCAGAGAATGCACCAGCACCATAGGGTTTCGCTGTTCAGAAGACATCTTTCCAGAAGCGTATAGTTTAAATTCACCTAAAAGAACCAGAAGAAAGAACACACCCAACAAAATTCTCAAAGACTTGGGACCTTTTAAGGAAATACAATCAAAAACTCCATAAAATGATAATCTATTAGTGAAAATACAGCAACCTATTGCCCAAGAGCACAGAATCAGAGGTCAGAGAAGCCCAAATTAGCAAATGGGAGACGAAACATTGCAGACCCAAATGAAAAAGAGCCATAAATGATAGGAGATGGTGGGTGTTTGAGAGTCCCATGCAAGAAAAGAGAGAGAAAGCAAGAGAGAGAATGATAGAAACCTTGAGACTCAAATTCTTATTTCAATTTAAGTAAAGAAAAAGATGAAAAACTTAATTTAGTATAGAACTTTAGAATGGATAAATTTTTTTTTAAAATAAAAGAAACTCATATTTAAATGAGCACAAATCTAAATTTAAAAGAGGGTAAACTATGGTCATTAGAGTTTTAAAGGAATGTGTAATTTTACCATTAACGATTGAACATAATTTAGGGACTTAAGGATTGTGGTCATTAGATTGTCAGTGGATCTCAATATGCATTAAGTCCCTAAATTATGTCCAAATAACATTAGTGTTAAAAAAATGTCTTTCTTGATTTAGGTTTAAAAAAGGGTTTCCCTTCATTTGGGATGAGTATGAGTCTAATAATGGAGAAGATTTTTTTACTCTTTTTAAAAAAAGGGTTTAAAAAAAGGTAAGGATTGAAGATATGACCATTTCCAATGGAGATATAAACCCTTACCTAAATTTGAGTAAAACAAATGGGAAAAATATTGATTTGGTATCAATAGCTCCAATTGACAAACCCAAATTTAAAGGAAGAAAAACTTTTTTTTTGAATGATGACAAACCCAAATTTAAAAAAGCATAAATATGACCATTGGATCATCAAAGGAGAGTGTAATTTTATTATTTGTGAATAGGGTAAGGATTTGAGTCTCTTTTGATTCGGATTTAAAAAAAGGTTTCATTCATTTGATATAGGTATAGGTCTAGCATTAAAAAATATTTTTAAGAGTTTTTTTTTACCCTTTTTGAAAAAGAGTACAAAAAAAGGGGTAAGGGCTGAAGATGCTCTCAGAACATCTCCAACTATGACATGAATTTTTGCTCAAATTTAAATTAACATTTAAGGGGTTATTTAATAACACCACTTAAGGCTCAAAATTGAATACTTTAAGTACTTCATAAATTAAACATGTTTGATAACCTAAAACTCATATTACTAAATATTTTAAACACTTCTTAAAAATATGCTAAAACTTTAAATAGTAAACCACCTACTTATCACTTAATGTTGTTAATGGTAGTCAGTAAGGATTTTAACAATTTCTCGTAATAAACAAATATACCTTCACTACCATTGTCATCACCACCATCACTAGCACTATCACCACCACCACCGCCACCACTACTTCCACCACTACCACCACCACCATTGTGCCACAGTCACCATCACCATCGCTGCCACCACTACCATTGTGCCACCGTCATTGCCACCATCACCACAATCACCATTTTGTCGCTGCCACTAGCACTACTATTATGTCATTGTCACAACCACCATTATGCCATCGTTACCACCACCATTAATGTTGCCATCACCACCACCATCACCACCGTAACTATTGTTACTGTCATTATGTCGCTGTCATTGCCACCATAATGTTGCCCCCACCACCACTTTCGCTACCGTCACCACTACAATTGTGTCACCGTCACCACTATTACTATCATTGTCACCACCACTACCATTGTTGCTACCATCTCCACCATCACCACCACCATTGTGCCACCACCACTGTCGCCACCACTACCACCACCACCACCACCATCACAATCGCTACCACCACCATTATCATTCTATTACCGATACTACCAGCACCACTCGGTCGTCACCACCACCACCACTCGTCGTCACCACCATTACCATCACCATTGTGATGGTTGTTATAGGAATAAGACAGTTGTGAAAAGATAGTTGAAGAGAAGAACAAAATTAGAATAATAATAATTTTCAGATTTTAACTCCTTATATTTGTCAAATAGTTTGGCTTTTAATGTTTTCGAGAATACAATTGGAGGTTTCTATAGATGACATGCTTGTCAAGATTCTCAAAGTTCCTAATCACCTAGTTGATCTATAGAAAACCTTTGATGTATTATGAGAATATGGGATGAGGCTCAATGCCTTCAAGTGTGCTTTCGGGGTTGGGTCAGACAAATTCATAGGTTTTTTTGTGACTAAGAGAGGAATTAAAGCCAATCTCGTCCAAGTGAAAGCTTTAATCCAATTACAACCCTAAGGACTATGAATGAGATGTAGAGGCAAACCAGGATAGTTGGTTCCCTTAACAGATTCATATCAATATTATCTAATAGGTGTGGACTGTTTGTTCAAGCCCTAAAACAAAAAAGGAGGAATTGAATCTTACCTTGTAGAGCCCCCAATCTTAACTACAGTCAAGCAGGATGATCTATTGTACATGTACCTGGAAGTTTCTAAGCACGTAGTAAATAGGGAATTAATGAAGAAATCCAAAAGGGAGATGATGCAATCTTCTATGTTAGAGTCTTCTTAATGCAAAGACTAGATACCTGTCCTTGGAAAGGAAGCTAAGGCATTTTTTTCAGTAGCCTTAGCTAGCTAGGTAAGGAAGCTAAGGTATTATTTCCAATCACACACCATTAAGCCCCATTCAGAAGGGTTGACTTGTCTGGAAGAATATCAAAGTGGGTAATGGATGTTGATGAATATGACATCACTTTTGAACCTAGAACTACATTTAAGGGACATGCAATGTCGGATTTCCTGGCGAAGCTTTCCCTTGTAGTGTAAGAAATCTCTGGTGAACTTCAGAAGGTCCCAAGGGCCTTGGAATATGAAATTGGGGGGAGGGCATCAAAGATAATCGAGTAAAAAAAGGTCCCAAGTGCATTGGAATCTCAAGTTGAGGGAGATGCCCAAAAGCTACAAAAATCTTGAAGCCTGTTTGTGGATGGTTCCTCAAACTAGAAAGGAGTAAGAGTTAGAATATTATTAGAATCCCAGGAAGGCAATAAGCTGGAAAAAGTATTAAGACTGGAATTCTGCGCATTGAATAACAAAGTAGAATACGAGGCTTTGCTTGTAGGAGTAAGGCTCATGCAAGACATGGGATGCCGAACACTCAAATGTCTATTCCAATTCATAACTTGTTGTGAACTATCTTTCTAGTAAATACCTAGAAAAAGGTGAAAGGATGGTGGCATACCACCAATTGGCGATGAGGGAGATAGGAAAGATCCCGAGGGTAGCATTACAACATGTGGCTAGGGGCAAGAATGTGCATGCTAATGCCAAGCCCGCCATAGTATCAACACTTAAGGATAACCCGACCAGAACTATCTTGGTGGAGAACCAAGAAAAGCCGAGCATCGAGCGTAATATAATCTCAAAGAATATGTAATTAACCCTCCTTAAACACACTAAATTAACACTTTTGATGGTTAATCAAGGATATGCCTTAATAATGGTTCAGACCTTCATACCTAGTCACTTTCTATGACCCTTGCACATACCTCGTTGTACTACTTAGTCTCAAATCTTTACTCATTCGGCTTATACGGTCATGCCTAGATTTGGCCTCAAGTTTGAACAGGCAACTGCACCTGAACTAGGGTCCTGCCTTTGTTAAGATATTTTTCCTCCCTACCTTAGTAGTAAATTGTCTTATGCCCGAGCCTTATCGATTCTAACTAATAGATCTTGAAGTCACTTAAAGTATGACTAACTATTTTGTCACTAGAGGCAATCTAGCTCAATAATTGAGGGTAATTCAATCACTTTCTGGTCATGTTTTTGAAGAAACTTCAAAAATAAAACTTTTTGAGGTTTCCCACACTCTAAGATCATGGAATCGACTTCCTATTAAGTGTCTCAAGTTTATAGAAGCTGGTACCTCCAATGAGTTAACCCTATATGAACCTTCCCAATTAGTGCTTTGATTTCCTTCTGTAGGATTATTTGTGGTTCCCATTTCTTTTCAAAGAACCAGGTACCTAACTAGGAATCCCCTTGTTTGAACCTTTCTTTCATGTGATTGACTCACTTTTTGTTGGTTAGATGTCATCTTTATGGCTGTCAGTTCCCTTTTCTCCTCTACTGGATCCAAATTTTTGGTGATCAACTCCTTGTTTCTTCCAGTATTCACAAGTTTAGATCTAATAGTTGGGATTCAAATTTATAAGGGGATGACTTCTTCCATCCCAAATACTAATGCATGTGGAGTTTCTCTAGTTACTTGGCATAGTGTGGTTTGGTACCCCCATGACACACCAGACAATTCTTCCACTCACTTACTCTTGGATTTTTGTAGCCTCTTCATGATCCCATTTAGGATTATTTTATTCAAAATTTATTCATGTCCATTACATTGTAGGTAGGTTAGGAAGAGTAATAATTTTTTATCCCAAAGTGCTGGCAAAAGGCCATGAAAGTTCTCCTCTCAAATTGATTCCTCTTATCAGAGATCATTACTCAAGGGATGCCGAACCTAGTTATAATGTTCCTCCAAACAAACCTCTTTTGTATTTGTTTCTTGAAAACTAGCTAGGGGCTCGGCTTTCACCCATTTAGTAAAATAATCAATTGAGACAAGGAGGAACCTTTTATTCCCAAGTGCTCTAAGAATTGGCCCCATGACTTGTTAGGGGATTTAGATGTTTTGCTGGCTACCTTGGGATATACGAATACATTTGGCACTTCCCATACTTTCTTACATACTATTGAGCATCTTTTTGCATATAGGGCCACCTACAACCTTGTGAAATTGCTCGGTGAGCAAGTAATAATTTCTCCTAATATGCTCCATAACTCCCTACATGGATCTCGAACAAAAAATCCTTAACTTTGCTCGGGTGGACATACAACAAGTATGGCCTAGTGAAGGACCGTCTGTAAAGTTTTCCATTAACTGACAAC